GTTAACCTAATTAAAATATTAGTTTTGTTGAAAAAAAGGTGGTACAACTTATTTAAATGTTAGTTCTGTATAAACAAACATGTGCTAACCTAATTAAAATGTTAGTTCTGGTTTAAACAAACATAGTTTAACCTGGTTAAAATGTTAGTTCTGTTTACACGAACAATTGCTAACCTAATTAAGACGCTACCTCTGTTTAAATAAACATGTGCTAACCTATTTAAAATTTTACCTCTGTTTAAACAAACATGTGCTAACGTAATTAAAATGTTACCCCTGTTTAAACAACCATGTGCTAATCTAATTAAAAATTTACCTCTGTTTACACGAACGTGTGCTAATCTAATTAAAATTTTACCTCTGTTTAAACAACCATGTGCTAATCTAATTAAAATTTTACCTCTGTTTAAACAACCATGTGCTAACATAATTAAAATAATACACTCGTAATATCAACTAGTGTGTATTCGATTGCAATCTACATTAATGTTCTAACTAAATAAGTCTACTATATTTTCTTAAAGAAGTACCCCCAAATGGATTAGCTATAAGTTTGCAGGCTTACGACGCTAAAAACTGGGTTTCGATCCCCTTGGTAGGCAGTATCAAGAAAACATTTTTTCAACAAATTATTACCAGTGAAATCGAATAAAAATTACACACAGTAAATGATCTTATATTAAGAAAAGATAGTGGGCCTATTTTTTCAGGGACAATTAATTTTTTTAATGTGATTTACTAATGTTTTTGTTCCTATGTTTTTTGTTTTTTTTACTAACACTGTTACGTAAATGATTTCATGACATTATGTAGTCGAATGAAAAACAGCATGAAAACAGAAAACATGTCGCTGCCTATCAGCTTTGGCCAGTTAATAGACGAACATTCTAAGGTTAATACCCACTTTTTACACCTCAGTATTTGCTTACGTTGACAGGATAACGGGATGTGCAGCTCGACTTATGATGACTAAGGTGTCGTTTTGAGATTATATAGTGAATGTTATCCTCGTGCATAAGCACGGCAGTAAAAAAAAACAACATATGTTTTTGTTTCTAAGTCCTGTTCTTTCAGGGGCATACCATTCACGACTGAATAATTCATTCTTGAAAGGTACGCTGTGGAAGAAGAATTGAAGTTAGACAGATATGATATTAAATTTAGAATCTGCGCCAAACCTTTATTGG